CACAAAGAGCTCCAGCAGCTAACAGAGCACCAACACCAGCAAATACCTATCAGGAGAATAATTATTATTAGCATGGGACTGTAGCTTAATTACAGCAGCAGTTATGATTTCTGCTCCATTTGGTGGAAAAGGGCTAGAATCAGAGATATATTGTGGCCCATTACAGTTAATGTTAAAGACTGATCTTGGAGTACCACCTGAGCTTGTTATGTTCCTGTATGTAGCACAGGTCTTTCCCCAACCAGCTGAAACCACAATCATGGTAATGAATAGGAACAAAATAGAACCAACAAATATTACAACTTGGAGAATCTTAGCAATCAAGCTATATAAATGGCATGAAGTAGTAAGAAAATAAGCTACTGTACTACTGAACTTACGTTTTGACATATATTTGAAATGAAACACTGATTAACTCAATAGCAGTTAGCAGAGCCAGACATATTGTAGCAATGGCAGCACTTGCTATACTCAACTTACAAGTGGGTACATTATAATTTAGCAGACTTGAGTTCATAGCTTGAGTATAAGAAATGAAAAAATGGCAAATTGCATATACTCCATTGTTAGTGTTAGCCTGAAGGAGACCAAGAGAAGTACCAGCAGCTCCCAATGACAGGAAGAGTATCACAAAAGAAGCCAATGAGAAGATCTGCTTGATATTGTCTGCACTAGGCATGATAGTGTCTCAAATATTAAGAATAGCCTGTAGGGTGTTTCTTTATATGCATGTATGCAACCACAAAGCCATTCCCATTCTTTATAAACTAGCTTAATTGGGAGGCAATTCTCCCAATTTTTTGGAATAATGTAAACTTTGGTTTACCTATGTAAACTGTGAAGCAGCTGCAGTAATGGACTATGTAAACAATCTTTAAACCACAACAGAGCTCATTTTAACATGTTGCCAGGCTTTGATCTTTCTTTCAACCTTGTTGAAAGGAATAGAAAGGCTTTCTAATCAAGGCAACATGTTGCTTGACCACATCAAAGCATGATCAGAGGCTGGGCAAATGTTGAAAACAACATTATTGAATGTAGTGTATACTGGGCTTTAGTCTTTTTACTTCCCTGAAAGTTTTTCACAAGCTTAGTTGACCACACACCCTAATTACCACTCCCATCTCATAATTGCCCCCTCAAAAATTAAATCCTAGATCCGCCCCTGGTTACCATTATCATGTCTATTAATTGTAATGATTATAGTAAGGAAATATGCACTTGTGTGGGCATGATTATTTCTTCCTATTAAATGTATTTTGTGTGTATCCTATGCTTGCTAACCTATGCCATTGTTGCATAAACAGCTCTAATGTAAATCTGCATGCTGTATAAGCTTAATGGAGTGGTTCACACACTGTACATATGATATGTATGTTTTGCATGGTTGATTGTGCAGATCAAAGGTTTCATTTTCGTTGTCTAGCTCACTCTATGTGGTCAATTTTTATATTTATACTTTGAATAATGTAAAAGTGGTTAAAATTTATTGTATACCCCTCAATTTTTATCATTACATGTACATTAAAAGCTATATGCTATCACATTAGACAGAAATGAAAGCTTGGGCTGGTCATTAATTAAATTGTAGCATACATAAGTATTCATAATGCTTGGTAAGAATACAAGCTATATATTGAAGGTAGCATATCACTCCAAAACCAACAATAATGTACTGTACAAGATGATTTATTGGTGAGGAATTAATATATTGGCAATTGGCGGTTCTATGAAAAAATTGCCAATATAAAATCCACCATTTTGTTTCAATCTGAGCATGCTCAATAGCATGTGGCACAAAATCACCAATATAAAATCCACAAATTTCTTTCCATATAAGAAAATTTGCCAAAAATTACTCCCACCAATAAATCATCTTGTACGGTATTATAATAATGACAAATTAAATTTTTTATGTACAAATAAGATCGTCTTAATTCTAGTGTACAGCACTGCAGTGAACTCATAAAATTTAAAGATTAACAGACCAGTTAACTACCAGTATGCAGCTGTTGATATGGGAGATTATGGTTAAACCTTACATGTAAGTTGATCATTTTTAAATGATGGATGTGTTGTTAGCTTAAGGGGGAATACTGGTAAATTGATTTG